AAAAACTAAAAAAATTGACAAAGACGTTTTGGGCTGCTGAGTAATTAATTATTCCTATTTAGTGTGAAATTTTAATTCATTGAAGTTTTTATTTTAGAAAAAAATTCAGATTTTACTTTAATTAAAAAGATAAAATAGATAATTGCAAATGCTGGTCATTGAAAGCTGCCACATCAACGATTCTAGATTTAGATTTATATAGATATATAGATGTGTGAAGGGCTTTAATTTTGTTTTCTTCCATTTATTCTTATTTATTTACTATTCTTTATTAATTCAAATTGACTCCTTTTCATAATTATTTTTTATTTTATTTTTTTACTTTCTCTTTCACTAATTATTAATCTTTTGATATGAGTGTTACGTGTTTATTCTTTATCAATGAATGAGTACTGAATTATGAACGTCACATAAATATTAAGAATATATTTAAATAATAGTTTTTAATAAAATAAAAGTTTTTAAAATGATAAATATTATTATTAGAGTTTTTTTATTTTAAAGGTTCTTTCGATCTTCACTGACGTTCTTGCTAAGTAAGATGACTAAGCTGAAACTACAATTTTTATTCTTTTCCTACTATATATCTGCAACAACACAAAAAAAATATGTATATTTTGCTTGTCTATTTGTATATTTCGCTTGCGAATATACAAACAGGAAAAGTATACACAATTCTGTATTTATACATTTAAAAAGTTTTCAGAACTCAGAAATTACTTAACTACACTCCTTTACTTACCTTAATATCCATTTATCCCTATTTATTTCAAAAATTTTAAAAATACCTTATTTATCTATGTATCCCGCATGTATCCCGTGCACAACGCTATGTATCCCGCTATGTGAAATGTATCAAACGCTATGTATCCCGTGCACAACGCTATGTATCCCGCTATGTGGAATGTATCGAACCTAATGTATCCCGTGCACAACGCTATGTATCCCGCTATGTGGAATGTATCAAACCTAATGTATCCCGTGCACAATGCTATGTATCCCGTAAACATCATTTTTAAGGGATTTTTGGTAAATAAAAAACTAAAAGGGATAGGATGTTATTTAGTACTTATAATATGTGGTTCCTATAATTTATACTTGTATATTTCGCTTGCAAATATACAAAGTATACAAATAGTTAGGGTAAGCACATATAAATTCTGAATTTATATGATCACGAACTGAATTATACAAATTATGAATTTATACAATTAGAGACCTAACTATATAAATTCTAGATTCATACAACTAGAAAACCTAATAGTAAGATCTCATGAAACTATAGCTACATATTAAAAATAATCAGAACTATAACTATATTATATAATATACTCTCGATGTTTCTCACTTTTAATAATATTAGAATATATACTAAATGGTCCTTATACCAAGAGAATAGCATCACTTTTTCTCGTCATTTTTTTTATAAGTGGTTGCCAAATTCAAACATTAGGCCATGTGACATGTGAACTTACTGTTACTAACTATTTCATATATTTAATTATTATAAGTTGCTTATTTTTATGTGGTTCGATTCAAAAATAAAATAGGTCCTTTTTCTTCACTTTAATTTTGTCAATGCATTTGCATGTTAATGGACCGTACATTCTGTAAATCCCTTCCCGAAGTTGCTAATTAATTAAAATGCATTCACACTTATTGCAACATTAATTAATTCAACATTTATATAATTTATTATCTGTCTTACCTAATTAATATATGCTTGGCAAGTCTTGTACCATAAGCATTTAATGAGTGTACAATGTACAACATAATGTTAAATGGCCAGAAAATTTAAAAAGTCTATAATATCATTTTTATTTTAAAATAAACTGATCTTTTATTCATTTTTTAACTAAAAGGGTAAAACTGTTCAAAAAGATAAAATAATATAATGTAAAATATGCTATTTTTTACCATTCTGATCAAACTTTCTGACCAAAAAGATTTTTTCAACACAATTATTTTAGTTAATTTTAAACTAATCGACTTGATTAGTTTTTTTTTTTTCAAGAGTCTTTTTGGGATTTGCTTATGGTCAAAGTATTAGGAGGGCTAATCAATATTGACGACTATATCAAGTAATTCGTTTGAGTGCATTAACACTAAAGTGAAAAAATAATTAATCAGACATCTTATATTTATGTCAGATTTTATTGGCTTAATACATGATCAAACTCTTAAATTTGTCAAAATATTGCATTTAGAGACTCTGAGTTAAATCATGTTTTAGTTGAATACCTTAACTCTTGATAACGTGTTCAACTTAGACATTTTCTGTTTAAATTTTAAAAACTTTTTTATGTGTGTTCTCATTCATTTATTCGGTAGTTAAGTTAATCACATAAAATATGTTATTTTCTTTAATTATATGCATTTATCTCAATAAGTCGTAAACTTCAGATATTTTCTACCCGAAATTAATCGTAAAATTAAAAGGAGATGGCGTATTTTATATAGTTTACTTAACTATCTAATAAGCCTATATTTTATTCGTATCTAATCAAGTATATGTTTGACATGTGGAGTACCATAAGTATTACTGGATGTACTATTTTTATAGCTATTATGAATTTTCAACTTATCAACTTGATTTTCTTTCTTCAATTAATTAATCATAAGCATAAAATTCCTGCATTTTTTTTTCGTCGTATGCAAGAGAGATATATGTTTGAGAAGTTTTGTATTAATTGAATTAATGGATGTATTTTGCAGTAGAATTACAATATATTCTGAAAATGTTTTTATTTTCAGCCAATCAAATTGATATTCTTGCATTTTTTTTAAAAAAATTATTCAAACTATATGACAGGTTTTTATACAATAGACATTATTTTTTTTAAAAAAAAAAAGAAAAATTACTGGGTGTAACTAACTTTTTTTTTTTTGGTAAGCAAAGATAATTATATTAATATAACTTAATATGCAGCAGTACATGGCAGTACACGGTGTAACTAACTTATATATTATATTTATTAAGTATATATTATCATACTTTCAAAAAATTACCATTTATGTATACATTTAATTAGTTGTGCATATAACTATGATTTATGATTGCATATATCTATAATGTGGTTATTTTCATTCAATAAATTTTGATATGAATAATAATAATCAGGTTCATAGAGATCATTATTACTAAGTCTTTTGGGTAGGGTGTACAAAATCGAATCAAACCACAAATCGAGTCAAATCAGAAAAAAAAACCCGACTAGTGGTTGGTTTGACTGGGTTTGGTGTTGAAAAAAAAATCCGACTATATTTGGGTTGGTTTGGTTTTAACTAAAAAAAACAATCCAGCACCAAACCAACCCGACATTATATATATAATTTTAAAAAAAATATTTATACATAAAATATTTACTTTGATATAATTTTTTAAATATTTCTTATTCTTTTTCATAACTTTTATCTTTTAATATATTATTTCAAGTTTGAAACTTAGAATTTTGAATGGTTCCATAAAGATTATAGTCCATAGATATTGGTAATTATAATAAAACTTAAATCAAAATCAAATTAATATTAATGCAAAAAGAAAATAAATTTAACACTAAGAATAACAATAATATTGAATATTTGTTCTTTAGTTTTACATTGGTTTAGACAATTAAAGTACATAATCTGATTTTAATTTCCTTTAATATTTAGTCATGTAACTAATACTTATTAAACTTATTTTAGCATGATTTAGTACTTTTAAATTATGATCATTTTCATTATGACTTGTTAATTTGCAATATTTGTTTTATGCGATTTCATTATTATTATTTTTTTTGGATATTTTAGTGTCATTAATCATATCATTGTTTGTGTTGTATTCTTAAGAAACACCTTAGATAGTTATATTTTGGTAGGACTGAAAAAATATTTGAAGTACAAGTAAATTATGTGTTTGTATGAATACTTTAGCGAAACAATTTGAAAAAATCCGAAGTTGAAAAACCCGTGTTTTATTGGTTTGGTTTGGTTTATAGATTTAAAAATCCAACACAAATAGTTTGATTTGATATTTGAAAAACTCGAACCAATCCGACCATGTACAATCCTGCTTTTGGGTCATGTAATGCTAATTTAGTTGAGTCAATCAGTGTGAAAAAGACCATTTTATGCCAAGAAAATTAGAACTTGGCTATTCTATACCAATTTTCTTTCTATGGATAAGTTAGCACATTGTGCCAAATTTTCTAACATAATCAACCAAGCAAGTCTTTAAGAGTCGTTTAGTAGTGGTTAAAGTAATACAAATATTAATAATATATAAATTAGTTATGAGATAATTTATGTATTATTTTGATGTTGGGATTATAAATTATGACACAGAGTTTACTTATTACATAATTACACGATTTAAGATAACATAATCTCTAAAAATTTCTATCTGGATAAATCACTCCACCTCTATCAGATACATTACAACTTTGTTTTTGTATAATGTATTTGGTACAAATGTTGTTATTGATAGATAACCACAATTATCCATACCTAAATCAGTATGAATCTGGTTTATAGTTATATATCTGATACATAACTCATGTATAATCTATCGACAAATTATGAAAAATCTAAAATTATTATAATTTAATAAACTTTCGAAATATGATGCAACTGACGCTCAAATTATTGAAGTTTCTGTACTTTATACTAAAATAATACATATATTCCCATATGTATTACTTATGTGAAATACTTAAATTGCAAATCAAATTAACACCACATTAATTTTATACCTAAATAAATAACTTACCGTTTGATAGTATTACTTACACAAAAAATTAATATATCTCCTAAAATGCTTTGGAAGACTATCTTGGTCAAAATCAAACAAGTACAAGAAGGAAACAAACTCAATGGAATTTAGTAGTACACTTTTTCTACAATCCCACTACCCTTAGCCACCTCAACTCTTCAATTTTTTTCCCTCTATAATAACAAGTCTCCAAACACCAAAACATCTCCTCCTTTCTCTCACTCTCTTCATTTTCTCTCGTCACACAATGGCTTCTGCCATCAAGAAAGTAAACATGATTACCCAAATCGTACGCCTCAAACAAGTCGTCAAGCGTTGGAAACACAAATCCCTTAAGCGCCGCGGCGTTTTATCATACTCCTCATCCGATTCAGATGAACCGGCTTTACCCGGTTCGAACCACCGCCGCCGCCGCACACCTTCAGGATCTTTAGCGGTTTACATCGGTCCAGAAAGAACCCGGTTCGTTATTCCGACCCGGTTCTTGAACCTCCCTGTCTTTATATCTCTACTTGATAAAGCAGAGGAGGAGTTTGGGTATCAAAGAACCGGCGGTTTAGTTTTGCCTTGTGAAGTTGAGTACTTTTCGGAGATATTAAGGTTATTGGACCGGGATGAAGACCGGTTCGGTCATTTTTTGGGTTTAGATGAAATGATTAATGAAGTTGGGTTTGATGGTTTAGATCACTCTTGTAAAGAAGCTGCTTCACAAGGATTTGCTCCTCTTTTGCATAATGCTAGGGTTTAAACCGGTCCGGTTCAGTTTCTTGAAGGAGGAAGATTTAGGGTTAGGTTTTTTATTTTTTGAAATTTTAAAACCATCCTAGAACACAGAATTTAATTTTCTGAAAGTTTGCTGGGTTCCAATGAGATGTGGGTAATTTTTAATTTTTTTTTTTAAGGTTGTTAATTAATTAGTGGTATTTTCCCCAGACAATTAAATGTATTTATTTGTTCTGGTGGTGGTGGTGACAGAGGCTGATGATTATTATTGTATTGTATTACTCCTTAGGATCATTGTTATTAAGAGGATGAAGTGATGGAAAAAAAAAAGGTTTACAGTAACTAATGTAATTTTCATATTAATTTCAGAAATTTTGGTGTTATTTTTTTGGTTGAATATGATTTTTCTGTTGGGATTTGTTTTGTATTTCCCTTTATTTTTGGTTGGATTCTATATTTGAAGTGACCCCTTAAAGAATCTGAGATTTTCCAATCAAATTGTTGTGGTAATTAATCGTTAATATTAAAATGTTAGCTAGAAAATAATAAGAAAGAAAAACGACAAGAAAGTGTGAGATCTAAATCATGCATCAAATATTATTTTTACTGATAATTAATTAATGATAATAATTATTTTTAAATATTTCTAACTAATATTGATAAATGATTTAGTAATTTTTGTTAATATGTATATTTATTATCACTAAAACCTATTTTTACTATAGCAAAAAGAGTCATGTGCTCGAATCTCTGATAAAGTTTATATATATAATTTAAGTTTGTTCTGCATAAAGCTACATTTTGAGTAAAAGCTCTAGCAAAGATTTTTTTTACTTTTGATAAAGATTGAAGAATGAATGAGATAAAATAAGTGTCATATTCTTATCCTGACTTTTTGATAATGTTTACAAGTCCAATACAATTCTAAAGTTCCCAACTTTATTTGCAATCAACACACGTCAATTTTCTTATCTTATACTACTACTACTTATTTTTCTGATGAATTGACAATTAAAATCACTTTCAGTTAAAAACATTATGAGTTTTATTATGATTAAGTAAAAATATTAATTGAAAATTGTCAATTTCGATAATATTAGGTGACAAATAAAATTTTCTAAATGTGAAAAATTTTGAATTGTTAATTATTACTCTCTCTGTCCACTTTTATTTGTCATGTTGCGCTTTTCGAAAGTCAATTTGACTAATTTTCAAAGTTAAATTAAATTACATTAATTTGACATTTTAAACAAAAAAAATTAGATATTCAAAAACTATACAAAAAGTATTATAAATTGCAATTTTTTGCATATCAATATGAACATCATAAAATGTTAGTCAAAGTTTATATAGTTTGATTCTAAAAAAGGAAACTATGAAAAGTGAACGGAGGTAGTATGACTTGGAGTTTTTTTTTTGAAATTATGACTTAGAGTACTTTTTACATAGATTACAAATATATAAATTTAATTTCAAAATATTTGAAGATTTCATGCGCAAATTTTCGATCAAACTTAAACTGTTTGACTTTCAGAAAATGAAAAGTATTACATAAATTGAAATAGATGGAATATTTCATCATTAAATTTTCTTTGAAATCAATTTTTAATTTATATTTTAGTTTTTTTTATAACAATAAATAAATATGTAGACAAATGATTATATATATGCTCAAAGTTTATGCTTTATACAACCTGTACTCCTTCCAAGTATTATTATCACCTGATTTCCAATTTGGCAAGATTCCCAAATAGAAATAAAAAATGTTGACAGGTGATGCCAAAAATACACTTGCAGTTCAGAAAAATGAAAAAATAATAGTAATAATAAAAAAATGGAAATATTTTTCTAACTAAAGAATAGTCTTCATGTTGTACTTAATTTATTTTTAGTTAAAATTTCCCCAACTGGCTCAAGTGTTTGATGAGATTCCATTAGATTTGTCTGCCCTTTAATTATTTATTTTCTTTGTCATATCATCATCTTAACAAATTGTACTATCTTTATTTACTAATTTTCAACGGTAGATTCACAAAGCACTTGTGTCTATACTTGACTTTTGCTTTGTTTCAACCTAATTTTATTTTTTTTCAATCCAATGTTTGATATCTGCATTAAAGTCCGATCAATTTTGTTTTGAGTTGTGTAGGATCTCATTTGAGGAGAAACTTTTTCTATCAATGATTTTTTCATATTTACAATTCAAATTTGAGACATCTGATTAAGAAACAAACATTCTTTTTGTTGGATTATTAGTCCACAACCCCGCTCTATAGAATGAATAAGGAAAGACTTATCGATGACCTCACCCCCTTTGTCACTTAAAGGGAAAGGTAAAAAAGGGAGATTGCTAGAAACCCTCCCCTAGAGTAGTTGTTAGTATAAATAAGAGAAACTCTGTTATAACTATTTCTATACATTATTCAATATATAATTCTACGAATAAAGGAATACATAAGTTAAACATAATAAAATAAGAAAATTAAAAAAATTTCGTTGAAATTGTTCATTTGGAAATTTCTCGAAAAGCTAGTACCAATAGTTCAACCTAACTGTTGAGTGGGTTCTCCTGCTAATAATTCTAACAATTTTCTTACTCATTTTGTTCCAAATTTTCTATTATGAGTATTTTTATTTAATTAGACAACATAATGTTAAGAGGATTCCATAGTAGCTGTCAAATCGAAAGATTATAACCACCTTTATTGTCGTTATGTCTCAAACTTGATACTTTTTTTCATTTTAATTTGTTTGATATTAATTTGACATAAAAATAATAACAATAAATTTAGTTAACTTTATTGGTGACATCTAAAAAGGGTGTGGTATATATAAATAATCTTATTTTTATCTTCACCTTGTAAAGGTAAAGAAAAAAATTTCGATAAACATTCCGTTCAAATGAAATATATCATAAATTAACATAAAATATAGAAAAGAATTGAATATCTTTAAAATTTATGATCGTAAATATATCATAACTCACATCATCTGTGTGACCGTAAAATTATTTTTAAAAATTACTTTAAAATATATCATAATATTTATAAAAACTTCTAATTAAGATAAAATAAAAATAAAAAAAATTATTATTTTTAAATATAAATTTTTTTCATTCTTTTCTAAAAAAATAAATCAATAAAAAGTACTCAACAAAATAAGACGGAGGGAGTACTTTAATTTGAGTTTACATATAAACTAATTATAATTGAAAGATTATGTATCGTTATTTAATTTTCTAAAGAAGTCTAAAGTACATATGAACTTAATACGCTTCATTTAGTTGGACCTAATGAAATATCTTAATATTAACTATCAAAATTTCAATCATTAAATCTATTTATTTTTAGTTTTGAATTTTAATCTTAAGTGTTTTATAATTTTTAAATTTTATGAACTCAATAGATCAAAATGAATGATAAAAAATTTATAACAAATTGTTAAAATTATTAAGATGGTTATTATTATTTTTTAATAAAAATAATTGTTCACCACTACAATCCGTCCTCTTTTCTTTCTCACATTGTCATCTCCCACTTTTATCTACCATCCGCAACTATCATTTTCAGCCACAGTTATTGCCGCCAATCATCATAGTTGATCGTCATCATTAATAATTATCACCATGCACTAACTATCATTACAACCCCCAATTACTACTTGCAATCACTACTTAACATCAATTTTTACTATATATCAACTATCATCATCACTCACCATCAAAATTAACTATATTACCATCTTTCACCACAATTATTAGTTATCACCATCTACAATTACGATTGACAATCATTATTTTTAATCACTATCACCACTAATTACTTCGTATAACCACCATCATCATCCAACACAACATTGATACACACCAATCATCACTAGCCATTAATATTACCATCACCAACTTATCATATAATTATATAAATATTTTTATTAATACAAAATTCATATAACTAAATCCCTAATCCCTTTTATATAATTTAATTAATAGCTTTGATTACAGACATCATGATGACTCGTTCTTGAAGGAAAGGGAATCTTCCATGCAATTGCAAGAAAGTGGTTCTCCTCAACTAAGAAATTATATGCATAAATTAATAGAGAATATAATATAAAATTAGTTGATTTTTTCGCTTAATCTCAAAGGGAAAGAATAAACTTTGGGTCATGTTTTTTTTATTCACTTCTTATTTTTCCTTTCCTTCTATGATCATAAATAATATATTAAATAGGTGAAAGAGGTACAAGTCCAATTAAATACCTAGACTTCTTATAAATTGTTCTAATTAGATAGTTTAATTCATTTTTTTTTTGAAAAAATTGTACTTTTTTATTTGTCTATTAAATAGTTAAGTTAACCACATAAAATATGCCAACTCCTCTAATTATACGCATCAATCTCTAGTAAAAAATGTCTGGAGTTTTACGATTTATTGAGGCGAATGCGTAAATATAATTAAAGAAAATGACATAGTTTATGTTGTTAACTTTACTATATACCTTATAGATAGAATACACCCAAACAAATTCAAAAATTTTAATTAAAAATATTTAATTGGACACAATTTATTATGAATTAAGGTGTTTAATTAAAATATGACTTAATTCAAGCATATGAAGAATCATGATAAATTTTAGAGATTGGTCATGTACTAAACCATATAAATATGATAAAAATACTCCATCCGACCCACTTTAACTGCTTCTTTAGCTTTTTAAATATCCCTTAAGAAAATAATAAATAAAAATATAATTTACTAATTAGTTACTATATATATATTTAATAGAAATAGATTTATTTTTTGCTCTTTAAGTATGTATAATTAAAATAAATGCTAAACTCCATTCTTAAATTTCGAAAGTGACATTTTAGTTTGTGATAATTTTTCTTCAACTATAATAACAATTAATTTAGGAAGGAAGCAGTAATGAATCTTCTCCAAATAGAGAAAACAGTATCAATTTCAGGTAAAAACGGCAGCCACTTCTTAATTATTGAAAGCATCTCAATTATTAATTTCATTCCTGAATTGTTGATAGTGTTAAAAATATTTTTTTACTTGATTAACTGAACTTAAATACACCTCAATCTTACAATATGAGTGAAATATATCCTAAATTCTCACCAAGTTTTGACTGTTTTTAGTACTTCTCTCGACTTTTTATTAAGAGCATCATGCTCCTACAAGAGTTTGAGACCATTTGTTAGATCATGTAGTAGATTAGGGTGTATCTAAGTTTA